GAGGAAGCAAGGACCTGGCATGCCTGAGGAGCAAAGAATACCAGCATGCCTGTAGTTTATTGGAAAGAGGTTGGAGATAGACAGGGGTCCAATTAGGCTCTTTAAGGCCATAGCGAGCAATTGGATTTTTATCTTAAAAGCAATTGGCGTCCCCTGAAGGGTTGAATGCAGATGACTGAAGTGATCCAATTCACATTTTTTAAATCATTTTGCTGCTGAATATAAATGGATTGTAGATCAAGAAGATGGAGGTTGTTGTAAGAATGTATGTGAAAAATGTTGACTTCACAAATGGAGAGCAGAAGTCTGGGGTGAGATCTGTTCTCAGGTGTCAATGATGGTAGGATATGGTGTTCAGCGGAGGGAGAGATAGACTGAAGTTTCTGGAATTACTATATGGTGAAGTTAGTGGAGAGACAACGTTTCATGGAGAAAAGCAAGCATTCTATTTGAACATAGCATGTTTGAGATATCTGAGACCTCCCAGTGGTGCATACAGCAGGCAGTTAGAGATGCAGGATTAGAGCTGGAAATATATTTGAGAAGCATCAGTATAGAAATGGTATTAAACCCATGAAAATTAATGAGACCATCTAGGAAGAAGCAGGAGAGAGAAAAAAAAAAGATCTTGCACTGAGCCCTGAGATATCATATACTTGAGATTTCCTGTAGAAGAGAAGTCAACATCTGGGAAAGAGAAAGACACAGGCTGTGGTAGAAGTTGAGAGAACAGAGTACTCCAAAGAGAGGTTAACTGCCAGCCATTGTAAGAGGACTCATGACCCAAAGCTGCAGTCACATTGTCCAAGCTCTCTCAGTGAAGAGTTGGGAGAACTTGGGCACTCAATGTCTCTGTGCTCCGTGTGCCTTATTAAATGCAAACATGTTCTTACTCACAGTTTTATTTATTCTTAAGCTTTTTTTCCAGTTAAACATTGAGGTTTAGACTAAAAAACTATTAATATAATAAAGGCTAATTATTTTTACAATGCCTTTAGCTTGTGCTGGTTTTTTTCTTCCTTCACAAAAAGATTTTGCTTTATTGTTTAGGAAAAAAGGGGAAAAAAAGAAACCCTACCCACAGCTCTCTGAATCATCCTGAGTCGAAAGAGTTGTCTGTCCTCATCACCTCATTAAGATACTTGACAATAATTCACAGATCTTTGGGGATAATCTGCAGGTTTTCAAATACTGCCTGGAATAGTAATAAACACTGTATTTTTAAAAATAGTGTTACTGGTACATGTATTTTTAAATACAGTATTTTTAAAAAGATTGTATTTTTAAAAATAGTGTTTTTAAAATTTTTATTTTTAAAAATAGTGTATTTTTAAAAATAGTGTTACTGTTAAATGGTTCCCTCAGGCAATTAGCCTGTGTTGCTTGCCACAAGTTGCCCTGCTTCTATCCCCAGAGAGTAAGCACTTGCTCTGTCTGTTCAGAATTATCATGTATTTCCTTCTTACCTCTAGGTAGGTCACTAGATTCCTCTGTGAACAGTGGGCATCAAACAACTGTTAAAAAAAAAAGCCTAAATATGTGCAAAATGCAGCTGTTAATATTTCTCAAGAGCACTGAGTCATATGGAGTCATATGATGTGAAATTATAAAATACTATCAGAAAAGGGCACTTTACATACCATAATAGTCATTTTATAAAGTTCAATTTGGCAATTCCAAGCCACATTTAATTTTCTTTGACAATTCCCACACGGCAGAAAGATATTGCTCTTTGTGGATTTCAAGTCTATTTCAGAGAACTGTAAAATGACAACCTTTTGGAATTAGCCCTTTTTCTATAAATAGACACTAAATCACTTGGCCAAATAAAGTCACATATGCATTTTCATTAAAATAAATATAAAATAATAAGTAATTTTGCTATATAACCATTCTGGGATCTATGAAAATTAAAATTCTGTATTATAGCGCAGTATGAATCATTTGTAGTTCTTCATCTTCACTGATAGGTGGGGCTAGTAATTTCTGTATTAATTATAATATTTTAGCATGTTAAAATCTGTATCTAGATGAAGCAGACACTTCAAAGCTTCAAAACTGATGAAACTGCATACTTCTCTTTAAGGGATAAAACTGTTTGCATTAATATGTGAAATACACTACTAAAATACCCCCTGCTGATTTCATAGGCTTTGTAGGGAGTTATGCATAATTTTCTGAAAATTAAAGGACTGAAGATCAGTATTTATGATGATAAAAATTAGATCTCAAGAACTATTTTAAAAACTTGGACGATTCTTCTAAAATGGAATTTTTAAAATTCAGCTCAACAATTATTTAACACATGCCCGAGGTAAAAGACCAGAGTAGACTCAGAAGATCAGAATTTGAGATTCAGCTGCACTTACCAGCACCATAACAGGACACACCTGATATCTTTGTAAACCTATCATAGAACTGAAATGAGAATTAAGTGAAGTAGCCTGGGAAACTTTGTAAATAATAGATTGTAACCTAACTGTCATGCAACATATATATTCAGGATAGCACTAGCACCAAATAATTCAACCTCATTTGTCTCCAAGTTAATGAAAACAGATAGATACAAGCCGACTTTAATAGGTAGCTTCCATGTTCCTCCAAAGGAAAGGCAAGGTACAATGGCAAAAATTCTGAGCAAAGATTTGGTGGTAATTTGGATCCCAAAAATTGATGAGAAAATCATTACATGGCACACTATAGCCTTAGTAAGCTGAACTCTAAGAAAACAAAATCCTGCCAGTCTACATCAAGAGCAGTGGTTTAACCCATTGCATCTTTAATGTTGTGTAGCTTTGCATCTATTTATTGTAATTGTTTTAGTAAATAGCCATACGAAAACTGTAAAATTAAGCTTTATACTCAGATTCATCTTCCATTTATTTAAATAAGCTCATAAAATTAACATACAGTGGTTAACTTAAAAATAATTTATCCTGAGGGCTGTGGCCCCTGAGATCAGAACTCAGAAAAGAAAAAACTTAAAATCTTCTTTCTGAACTTTGCTACGTGATCATAGGGTAAGTCAAATGACCTCCTTCACAGTAAAAGAGTAACAATCTCATTCACATAAGAATACTATGAGGATTCAATGAAATAATTAATATAACCGTGAATGAACGCCTTTCCCAGTATGCTGTGGAATATAAGGACTCTGAATCAAGAGTTTAGGCTTTCAAACCACCTTACCTCTTTGGGAGTCACTTTCCAATTTTCTAAAGCTAGGAGCTATGTCAGATTATCTCACAGTTCTTTTTAACATAGTTATAAGAGAAGGTGGTTGGGTTTTCCATTGAGATTTCTATGAAAAATTCATTCATCGATTTCACTCATATCATATCTGCAGTTACTTGGTTTTCTGTTAGCTTTATTTTAAACTTACTACTCTGAGAAATCAAAAAATGTTATGATTCGCTTGTGATCAAGGCAACAATTTGAAAAAAGAGTAGAGTCAGAAAAGCTAAATTCTCCTATATAGCAGAGTAATTTCAATCCTTCTTTGTTTTGTTTTGTTGTTTCCTCTGTTTTAATAGAATTCATACTTGAGTCTTTGTACTTAGATGAAACCACCCTAGGCAAGTCAAATGATCTCTCAACATGGACTGTTCTGCTTAAAAAGCAGGCTCTGGACATAGGCTTGTGGATTGAAATCCCAATCCCACTACTTTATAGCTATGCAGCCTTGGATAAATTGCTGACCCGCTCTGAGCCTTTATCTTTGGAACAATTAATGAGACAATAGCTGTAAAGCACTCAACTGTGAAGCCTGGTATATTGGGAAAAGCTCAATGAATGTTGGCTATTATTAGTATTATCATGTTTATTTCCCTTCTTTTTCATCCTTACCTTTCCAGGTACTGCAAGAAGAGGCTACAATAACTGGAGCATGGAGGGGCAGTAAGAAAACTATGGGAAGGCGAACAAGAAGTGGCAACTAACACTTCCAGGGCAGGGACCAGGAAGAGCAGCTACCATACATGTCCAGAAACTTAGATTGGATCTGGGTTCCACAATTTTCTAGCTTTGTGAATATCAATTAATTTATATCACCTCTCTAAGTTTTTGTTTTCTCCGCTCTGAGACTAGTAATATTTATACGGTAAAACTGTTAGTGAAAGGCTCAAAAACAAATATTCGCTGCACGCGAAAACACTTCCCGACCTCTAAACAAGGCGGTTTTTCTCATTGACTGGATACGTGTAGAGGGGGGCAGAAGAATTGGATTTGCTCTGGCCTCCTCACTGCAAACTGTGCGCCTATCCTTTAACCTCTCCCGCCCGTTCATCCGCTAGATCATTAGGGTAGTAACGGCCACCATTGATTACGGGCCTAATGCCTGCCGTGCATTGCACTGTGTTCTGAGTCTGTACACCAGGCGACTTTATCATTTAGTTCCTGCAATTTTACGTTCCTGCAAAAAATATCTCCATTTAACAGATGAAAAACTAAGGTTGAAAGAAGTTGGAAACCTGCCACCCGGCACCTACAATGCTAACGTTCTAAAAACATCTATCATGAGAAAATCGTTAGCAACCAATAGTTTTGCCTCTAATCATTGGTTTTCCCGCAATTATCCAGAGGGGAATTAGGCACGGCTATCTGCGAGATTTCACCTCGGAGCGCTTCCGGGATCCAAGATCCTCTGACTCGCCCCTCCGCGTTAGGGTCCAGGCCCCGCCTCGTTCCCGCCCCCCGGGCCGCTCTGGCCACCGCCCACCCAGGAGAGACCCCGCCCTCCCCGCACCTTCACACCATCAAGGGCGAAAAGCAGCTCACACCCAGCCTGCACCGCGCTTAGCGAGACTCGACGCATGCGCTCTGTGTGCGCCCAGATTTCCTTTCTGTCCTCAGCGCTTCCGGCGAGGTACATCCGACCAATAAGGTGGGCTCGGAGGCGGGCCTTAATGCTCCCCGCTCCCGCCCCCCCACTTCCTTTTCCGCGGACGATTTAAGAGCAGCGCGAAAAGTCCGTGGTAGGACTGGGACTGTTGCGCGGGACTGTTGCGTGGGGCTGCATGGCTGGTTCTGGGACGCTGAGCGCTTTCCGTCTCCCGCCGTTGCCCACGATTCGAGAAATCATTAAGTTATTCAGGCTGCAAGCAGCGAAGCAGCTATCCCAGAATTTTCTCCTGGACTTAAGGCTGACAGGTGGCTGTCTTTTCAGTGCTCCTCCGCATCCCCGGGGACGTGGGCCGGGCGTTTCGCGCGGACCCTGCGGGCGGGTGTCTGGGGTCAGGCAGTGTGCAGGGGGCCTTAGGTCAGGTCCTTCTACCGCTTTGTGCTGAAAGGAGCGCAGGAGGAGCGTGGAATGTCTTGTTCGCCGACATAACGGCGTGCTCGCGGGCGTTCGCCGTGGGCTGGTGAAGGCAAGTTGTGCAGACGCCGAGCAGACACTAGGGGAGGCAGGGGTCGCGTAGCGTGAAAGGCGGTTGTGGAAATTCGAATCTCGGTGTGTTAACACTAATGAAAGGGTACTGCGTGTGTGGCTAGTTTGGCTTCTGATGCAATGTAAAGTTATCAGAATTTAAGTTAGTGCGAAGAATTTTTAAGTAACATATTGAAAAAGTATCACTCGTGGAATTACGTTATTTAAACGTATACTTGTTGAATCCAAAACCCTCGAGGGCGCAATATTCAGTAAATACATGTCAGAGAAGCTACTGTGTGCTAGTGGTGGAGATGCAATTTGGGAGTGAGCCAGCCAAAAGTCTGTCCTCAGGGAGCTTACATTTTTAGCAAGTTTATATTCCCACTCTTATTTTAAGTCACTTTTTGTAAGGTAAAATTTACATGCAGTAAAATTAACCAGTTGGAAGTGTAGGGTTTGATGAGTTGTGACAGACGTATACCCCATTTAACCGCCACCCCATTTGTTGGTGATACTTTATTCTGGAAAGTGAGGTTGCAAGAATAAATAATATGTATTACAAATATGTCCACTAGTTCACTGTTGGAATATTTACCGTATTTGAGGTTTTGCTATTTAGTTCCATTTTGGTGCCTCTCGAAAAGCTGAAAGATAGGAGAGATCATGCACAAATAGTTCATTTTCAGTTAAGTATAGTCCACAAGCCATCAATAAGATGTCTTATTTCTTGGCTGTGGAGTCTTTATTCTGCTAGTAGAAATAGCTTAACTAAGCTTCAACTTCTCATCTGTTAGTTGGAGGAAGACCCCTATTACAAGATCTTTAAAGGGTTACCCACCGCTAAAATTCTTTAGTTCTAGTAGTAACTAGCACTAGCTTTGTCTGCCAGTCATTAGTCACATTCTGTAGGTATAAAGTACCATTCTTAAGATGGAAAATATAGGTCTTTATATTTTAATGTAGAAAAAAAGTCCTTTGTTTACAGATTCTGGAATCTGGGTACTATTCCCTTTTCTCTGGGAACCAAAGTGAAGGGAGATTAAAGTACTTGGTTTGAGGTGAGAAGCTCAGGTGGGAACAGATGCTTCCTGAATTGACAGTGCCACTTTGATATTCATTTGTATTTGTGCCTGAAAAGTTTGAGGGCAGAGCCCCAGACCTCTCAACTATACTAGCTCTCGATTTAAGAGAATGAGAATGTTAAATTCATAATGCCTGTGCTTAATGTATCAGTTGTGTTCCTTCTAAAAGGCATTGGTCTGTAGTGGAGGAAGGATTGCTTTAGAATTTACATCTGAGCTGGATTCAGCTCTCTTCCATTTGCTTTCTAGATGACCTTGCACGATGAAACAATAAGGAGGAAATAGAAAAGTTTAAAGAAGTTAAATTGGGATAGTAGTTCTTAATGTGTTGGAAGGACTGTGAGATGCAAGTGAGAAAGCATGTAAAGCACCTAAAAGAAGTGGTTGGTGAGCATATGCTAATTCCCTCTGAGCACCAGTTAAAAGACAAAACTATTTTGGGGTGCCTGGTTGGCTCAGTCAGTTTAGTGTTCCTCTCTTGATTTCCACTCAGGTCATGATTTTGAGGTGGTGAGTCTGCTTGAGATTCTCTCCCTCTCCCCCTCCCCCTCACTCTTTCTCTAAATAAAATAAATAAATCTTTAAAAAAAAAAAAAGACAAAACCATTTTTACTTTCTATTTGGGGTTTTAAGCCTACAAAAATGGTACTATACAGTCTCCGTGAACACTGCAAGGAAGTGCTGGTATGTTTCCACTATCCCAGGAGGCCCAGTTACTTGGATTTTAGTAACTCAGTCAATAAGACCAGCCCATCATATGTTTTTTCAGAAGTGATGGTTGCAGTGAATCCTCTGTACTTTTTCATTCTTTCTTTTTTTTTTTTAATAGATTCTATTTATTTGACAGAGATCACAAGTAAGCAGAGAGGCAGGCAGAGAGAGGAGGAAGCAGGCTCCCCGCTGAGCAGAGAGCCAATGAGGGGCTTGATTCCAGGACTTTGAGATCATGACCTGAGCCAAAGGCAGAGGCTTTAACGCGCTGAGCCACACAGGCGCCCCCTTTTTCATTATTTCTTAAGGTCAGCTAAGTTAAAGAGGTTAATTTAAGACATTAACTTTTCCTTATTAATTTGCATATTTGCAAAGCTTACAACAACTCCACTTAAGAAGTTTAACTTTTTCCTAAAAATGACCAAGAATCTATATTTCTGCTAGTCCTATGGTCTAGGGACTTGTTGCTGTGGCCATATGGACCAGCTAGATGTCTACAGGTAAAAGTGAGACTGCCAGCACTTTTTGCTTTGGGATTTCAAACTAGCAGTATTGGAAATTCTGAATGTAAAACTAGTCTTACTTATTCAAATATTCAGTATTTGGCAACTGTAGAGAGATGGTGAGTGCTTACCTGGTCGGTTCTTAGGAACTGATTGATTGGTTTGGTGGAGGAAAATACAGTATTAACTATATTTAATTTAGGAAGTTTGTCATGATAATCCTATTTTTGTTAAGGGACTGATAATACAGTTCAACTGTGTTGTGATCACTTAGTGAATGGCCACTATATGTTGGTTTAGGTTGAGTTAAATAATCAGACAAATATGGTATAGAGGATTCCTTGAATAACAGTTGATGAGAATCTATAGAAATTATTAAATTTTGCACATTGAAATTTATCAAAATCATTAAAACGTTTTTTTTTTCCTAGATAAAATTGTAAGGAAAGCTGGGAATCTGACAGATGCTTACGTGTATGAAGTGGGCCCTGGGCCAGGGGGAATCACAAGATCCATTCTTAATGCCAATGTTGCTGAACTTTTGGTGGTTGAAAAGGATAGTCGATTTATTCCTGGATTACAGGTAAGATACTTAAAATATCTTTTTTAGGAAGCCAAAAAAAACAAAACAAAACAAAACAAAACGACTTCAATCTTCAGGCTATGATTCCTTTTTTTTTTTTTTTTTTAAAGATTTTATTTATTCATTTGACAGAGAAAGATCACAAGTAGGCAGGGAGGCAGGCAGAGAGAGAGGAGGAAGCTGACCCTCCGCGGAGCAGAGAGCCGGATGCGGGGCTTGATCCCAGGATTCTGGGATCATGACCCGAGCCGAAGGCAGAGGCTTTAACCCACTGAGCCACCCAGGCACCCCCAGGCTATGATTCTTAAACCTCAGGATATCCAAGGATCTCCTTGGTGGCTCTTCAAACTGCAGCTCTCCAGGCCCCATTCCAGAGATTTTGATTCCATAGTCTCAAGAGGTCTAGGAATTGCATTTCTAACAAGCATCCCAGCGTGTTGGTTAATAGACCACTTCTTGAATAAACCTGTGTTAATGCATCAGTGCTAGACAAACTACTTGCTTTGTGTGATCTTTTTTTTTAAATCTACTAGTGGTGCATGTTCTGGCCCACTCTTTCAAAAATAAGTAAATAATGCCAGTAATGACTGAGTTATTGGCATGATTTATGAGAACTTCATTTAGATTGAGAAAATCATTCTACAAGCAAAAGATGGAGAAAACATATGCTTTTTAAAGAGATTAATTGTTAAGCTTAAGCATTTGGTAAGAACTAAGTGAAGAAATGAAATACCACTGTACACAGAGATTTAAGATGAAGTTTGAATAAAGTGTTACATGCATCTTTAAAACAGTAGGTGCTATTGTTATATGAGAAATATTTGAGGGAACTGGGCATGTTTCATTTGGAGAAGAGGAGCCTTGGGTGCTTATTTTGATTTCTAAAAAAAGACTAATACAAATAGGGAATCGAGGGAGACAGGTGTGGATTTAAAATAAGGAGGGACTTATATTTTTTAAATGGTGGCAAACAGTGAAACCCATTTTATCAGGGATTTTGTAAAGGGAATTCTTCATAGTGGGGCACTTAATGGCTGAAGGGCCTTTGTTTGATATCTCTGTAATTCTAAAACTTTAGAAGAGCCCTTAGCCTTTGGCTTAGATGAGTAGCAATTTGTTAAGTGACTCTAACACAATAATAAAGTTGTCAGCATTATTACTTTCACACAAGAGACAAATTGGCTTAAAATTGGTACAGTCTAATGCTTGTATGTGCAATAATTGAAAAATATTTCATTTCTACCGGAACAGTTTGAGGAAATTTGTTTGAAAAATCTAGGGGCTTTGTGTGCACGCAACTGATTTTTTTGTTTAGAAACTTAGTGATTTCTTATTATTGGGCTACATTTTGTTTTATGCTTTAAAAATATATTTAGTTTTATCTAACTTTACTATTGACAGAATTGACAGAGTTAGTTTCAGATTTATAACTTTATTTTGCAATTCTCATATGGTACATATTCCTTGATGTAGAATGTTATAAGCGATTTTTGCTTTGAACCACCTTCTTCTTTGAAGAACTGCAACTCAATTAGAGGTGAAAGTGTGAATATCTTATTTTTGGTGAGATCATGAGGTAGTGGAAAGAAGCTGAATAACACTGTGATTCCGTTCAGGTTTTTTCATCTAGCCCTTTTTGGACATTGGGAATACTCAACTGACTTGTAGGCACTTGAAGAGACTTCCTAACCCTCAATCTTACCATCTGTTATATGTGATTCTTTCTCATGAGGCAAGGAGGTGAATCAAATTTCTGTTCATCCCCACCTTAATTTACATATTCTCCTTTCCTGATCTCCACTAAAGATCTTTGAAGACAGACTATTTAAAAGGCAACTACATGCATCTCTTTTCAGCTGCCCTACCAAGACCCTGCACTCTTAACCCCTGTCTTGTTTTGTCTTATTAAATTGACCATCTGATAAACTCTATTTTTTTATTTGTTATCTACCTTACCCCTCTGGAATGTCAGTACCAAGAGCATGGAGATTTTTGTGTGTTTTGTTTTGTGCTCTACCACATATAACCATGTCTGGCAGATAGCAGGTGTTGGGTAATGTCTTATATGGGAAAATAAAAGGTGGACTATGTGCATAATATATCTAATCAACCAACTAAATGTGTCATTTAATAGTGAAAATAAATAATTGTGCAGCACTGATTATTAAAAAGTTTTGTGCTCTTTTTTTAAATATTTATTTCAAGGTAAATTGCTCTGGAAGAAATGTGTATTTGTCTTATCTGTTTCTGTAGAAGAAGCAAAATTAATTCTTAGTGTCTTACATTGCAGGAAAGGAATTTGCCTTAAAAAGAAATGTTGGGTACTAAAATATCAAATAGATTTCTTTTTCCTATAAAGAATGTTTCAATATGTAAAACCACTTTCATTTAGAGGCACTAAATTAATCATAAAACTGAATAAAGGCAGAAGGAGTGATCTATTTTAAGGATTCCATTTTAGTGGTTTCTAAGCTAATAGAATTATGTTTTAAAGAAGTTGTAATAATTTATAAAATGTCTTCTAGCTGAAAATATATCATTTGTATTTTAATCCAATTCTCAAGATATCATCATGAGGCATCTTAGGGTCTTAGGGCAAAGAACATAGTGTTAACATACGAGTTTCACCATCAGCATGTTGTAAAGTAAAAAAACATGTCTCTTCTAATATGTGAACATATTGTAGGATAGTTTTGTGGTAAAGAACACTGACTTCAGCGTCAGATTGCCTGACTTTGACTTCGGGCTCTATCATTTACTGGTTATATGTCTTCGGGCAGGTAACTATGTCCTCTGTGTCTCAGTTTGCTCCTAGGATTGTAATGAGGATTAAATGAATGCCTCATACTTACTTAGTTAAGCACTCAATATAATTTTCAATATAAATAAATTATTGTTCCTCTGCCTTGGAGATCTGTTAATTAAGGATTGATCAGGAGACTGCTTATCTGAAAGAGGTATGGGAGAACAGTAAAGTTATTCCTTTGGAACACTATAGAGTATAAATCCCCAGTGCTGTGGAAACACTGGAGCTTTCTCCCAACTCTTCAAGTTACCATTAGACATCTAGGGTTTCTTTCTCTTAATGTTGGAGCATTCTCTTGTGATTGTGCATCTTGGGGGTTTTTTCTTGTTGTTAATTATTTTTTAGTTGCTTATTGTTGTTACATTTTTATGGCTGGGTGGCTTCTCTGCTTTGGAGGGCAGTGAGATTTTTTTGGTACCCCAGGGACTTGAGGTTTCATTAGGTTCTTCCCCCATTTCTGGATTGGAGAGAACAACATAAGTAATCCTCTCTCCTTGAAGTAAGCAATCTGGGTTCTTCATTTTTTTTTTCTTGTCTTATAAATATGTAAAATCTTTAAAACAATCATATTTATGGAGGGCTTATTGCACTAAGTACTTTGTTTCACAGCTTTACCGAGTATTATTGATGTGCAGTAAACTGCACGTGTTTAAAGTGTACAGATTACCAAATTTTGACAAATGTAGTGTCCTGAAACCATCACCACAGTCAAGATAATGAACATCTGTCACCTTCAGGATTCCTCATTTTCCTTTATAATCCATCCCTCCTTCCTCCCCTTCCCTGTCGTCAGACAGCCATGGTTCTGTTTTGTCACTATAGGATATTTTCCATTTTTTAGAATTTCATATGAATGGAATCATACAATGTATGCTCTTTTTTGTCTTCTGTCTTTTACTGAACATAAGTATTTTGAGATTCATCCATGTTGGGGTGTTTATCAATAGTTCGATTTATTTATCGCTGACTAGTATCCCATTCCTTGGATATGCCACATTTATAAATCCATTCACTAGTTGATGGACTTTGGGTTGTTTTCATTTTTGGGCAATTATGTAAAGAGCTGTCATTAACACTCACATGCAAGTCTTTGTGTGAATATATACTTTTATTTCTCTTGGGAAAGAGTTAGGTGCAGAGTGTGTGAGTCTTATGGTAGGTGTATTTTAAACTTTTTGTGAAACTACCAAAACGTTTTACAAAGTAGCTATACCATTTTAACATTCTCCCCAGCCGTGCATGAGAGTTACCTTTACGTCACATGTTCTCACATTTGGTATGATTAATCTTTTTTAATTGTAACCATCCAAACGAGCATATAGTGGTATCTTAATATGATTTTCCTAATCAGCAATATTGGACATATTTTCTTAAGATTTAATTATGTTTATAAGGAGAGTGTGGGTTGGGGGGGCAGAGGGAGAGGAAAAGAGAAAATCCTCAAGCATACTCCTCTCTGAGTGCAGAGCCCAATGTGGGGCTTGAACGCAGGACCCCGAGATCGAAAGTAAGAGTTAGCTGCTTAACCGACCGAGCTGCCCAGGTGCCCCTGGACATGTTTTCATGTGTTTATTTACCACTTACATATCTTCTCTGGAGAATTATGCAAATATTTTGAGCATTTCTTGTTTTTTCTTCATATTATTGTATTATAAGAAATCTTTATGTAGATTAGATACAGGTATTTTGTCAGATATACGTTTTGTAGTGCTTTCTACTCAGATGGGACTTACCTTTCCATTTTTGACATTTAATGGTGTCTTTCAGAGAGTAAAACTTAGTTTTAATGAAGTACAGTTTATCAAATTTTTCTTTTTGAATTTGATGCTTTTTGCATCTTATATTAAAAAATAATTGTCAAAATAAGAACTAAGAATTTCTATGTTTTCTTCTAGATGTTTTATAGCTTTATTAAGTTTTTCATGTAGGTTTATGATACATTTTTGAGTTACCTTTTGTGTGTAGTGTGAGGTGTAGGAGTAGAGGTTCATTATTTTGCACCACTGTTGAAAATTTTATCTTTTCTTCATTGAATTATCTTGATCCTATTGTCAAAAATCAACTGGCCTTATATATGGTGGTCTGTTTCTGTACTTCCAGTTCTTTACTGTTGATATGTAGGTCTGTTTTCTTCACTGTGACTAACCTGTATTGATTCCCATAGCTTTATAGTAAGACTTGAGAGCAGGTAATG